TCAAGAGATTTTGCCTGTTTTCTTCTATGAGTTTTATGGTTTCATATCTTATATTTGGGTCTTTGATCCATTCGAGTTTACTTTTGTGTATGGAGTTAGACAGTAATCCAGTTTCATTCCCTTACGTGTAGCTGTTCAGTTTTCCCAACACCATTTATTGAACAAACTGCCTTTTCCCCACCCACTGTATATTCATGGCTCCTTTAACATTTATTAATTGACCATATATGCATTGGTTTATATCTGGGCTGTCTATTCTGTTCCATTGATCTATGGGTCTGTTCTTATACCAGTACCAAAGTGTTTTGATTACTGTGGCTTTGTAGTAGAACAAGAAGTCAGGGAGCATAATCCCCCCCACTTTGTTCTTCTTTCTCAGGATTCCTTTGGCTGTTCAGCATCTTGGAGTTCTGTATGAATTTTAGGATTATTTGCTCTAGTTCATTGAAAAATGCTATTCGTATTTTGATATATATTACTTGGGCAGAATGGCTATTTTGACAATATTAATTCTTCCTATCTGTGAGCACAGGATAGATTTCCATTTATTTGTGTCTCCTTTAATTTCTCTCATGAGAGTCTTATAAATTTCAGAGTATAGGTCTTTCATTTTCTTGGTTCGGTTTATTCCTATGTATTTTATTCTTTTTGATGCAATTGTAAATGGAATTGTTTTCCTGATATCTCTTTCTGCTAGTTCATTATTAGTCTATAGAAATGCAACAGATTTCTGTATACTAATTTGCATCCTGCAACTTTGCTGAATTCAATTATTAATTCCAATAGTTTTTTGATGGAGTCTTCAGGGTTTTCTATGTATAACATCATGTCATCTGCAAATAGTGACAGTTTAACTTCTTCCTTACCAATTTGGATGCTTTTTATCTCTGTTTTGTCTCACTGCCATGACTAGGACCTCTAGTACTGTGTTGAATAAAGGTGGTGAGAGTGGATATCCTTGTGTTGTTCCTGATCTTAGAGGAAAAGCTTTCAGCTCTTTGCCATTATGTATGGTGTTAGCTGTGGGTTTGTTATATATGGCCTTTATTTGTTGAGGTATGTACTCTCTATACCCATTTTGTTGAGAATTTTTATTGTAAATAGTTGTTGAATTTTGTCAGATGATTTTTCAGTATCTACTGAGAGTATCATGTGGTTTTTATCTTTTATTTTGTTAATGTGGAGTACGATGTTGATTGATTGACAAATATTATACCATTATACCATCATTGCATCCCTGGAATAAATTCTACTTGGTTGTGATGGACGATCATATTTTTGAATTTGGTTTGCTAATATTTTGTTGAGAGGATTTTTGCATCTATATTCATCAGAGATAATGGTCTAAAATTTTCTTTTTATGTGGTGTCTGGTTTTGATATTAGAGTGATGCTGGCCTCATAGAATGTGTTTGGAAGTATTCCCTCCTCTTCTGCCTTTTGGAATACTTTAAGATGATGGGTATTAGCTCTTCTTTAAATGTTTGTGTAGAAATCAGCCATCTGGTCTTGGACTTTTGTTTGCTGGGAGTTTTTTGATGACCGGATAAATTTTATTGCTGGTAATTGGTTTGTTCATATTTTCTGCTTCTTCCTGGGTCAGTCTTGGAATGTTGTATTTTTCTGGGAATTTTTCCATTTCTTCTAGTTTGTCCAACTTACTGATATATAATTTTTCATAGAATTCTCTAATAATTCTTTGTATTTCTGTGATAGCCATTGTTGACTATTCCTTTTAATTTTATTTGTGTCCTCTCTTTTTCTTGATAAATCAGCTGGGGGTTTGTCTATTTTGTTAGTTTTCTCAAAGAACCAGCTCTTAGTTTCATTGATTTTTTTCTATTGTTTTATCCTTCTATTTTATTGCTCTGATTTTTGTTACATCCCTCCTTCTACTAACTTTGTGTTTCATTTGTTCTTCATTTTCTAGTTCCTTTAATTGTGAGTTTAGACTGTTCATTGTGGATTGTTCATGTTTCTTGAAGTAGGTCTGTATTGCTACTTTTGTGTTGTCCCACAAATGTTGGACTGTTGTAAGTTTGTTTTCATTTATTTCCATGAATTGCTTGATTCCTGTTTTAATTTGTTCATTGATCCATTTATTATTTAGAAGCATGTTGTTTACCTCCATGTGTTTGTGAGCTTTTCTGTTTTCTTTGTGTAATTTATTTGTAGTTTCATACCATTTTGGTCTGAGAAGTTGCATGATACAATTTCAATCTTTTTTAATTTATTGAGACTCTTTATATCCCTTCCCTGTTCTTTTCATTCTTCTGTGTCCTGTTCCCTTTGAAATTCTGCTAAAAAAAAAATACCTATCATGGTGAAACAGGTACATAAAACAGAAAGTCCAAATACCAGTAACCTTTAAAAAAAAAAAAAAGGAGTTGTTTTTCCCTCTAACAAGTCTGCAGGTGGGCAGTCCCAGGCTGTTGTAGAAGCTCCAGGAGGCTGTTAGGCACATGGCTCCTTTTTTCTTTCTGCTCAGTCATCTGTAACAACTGTCCAACATCTTCAAGGTTGCCTCATAGCAGCAAATGGCTGCAGCAGCTCCAGCCATCAGGATCACATTCTTGGCAGGAAGAAGGTGAAAGGGGATAGGATAGAAGGTATAAGCCAGCTGAATCTGTTCCACTTTAAAATAACTTTTATGGAAAGCCCTTCTCAGTGACTTCTGATTACCACTGGCTTCCACTTTCTGAAGGGGCTTTGGGAAATTTCACTTTTTTGCTGAATTTAGCTAAGTACATTGTTATTTCCAATAACCTAAGAACTCTATTGGTAAGGAAAATGAGAATAGATTTGGGGTTTGCAGCCAGTACTTTCACACTGTTACTTTTGATTGAAGGTATAGTTTCAATAAACACATACAAAGGAAGTAGAGTCACATAATTTATTATTTACCACTGAGTGAGGAGGCACACACAGGCTGAGCCGACTATCTTGAGCTGGAAGTGCTAATCTTTAGAATGTACAAGAGCCCTTTTTCATGATGTAGGACAAATTTCAGCCTAGAATGGTTAATGGCAAATGTATTCTTATGGGTGAAAAGAATTTTTTACTCAGTGTTAGCTCCTGTGGTTGAACTGTGTGCATTTTCTTAGGGATTGTTATGCTCTTTCTTTGCATGCATGGTAAACAGATAATCTGTAATGAGAAAGGCACCTTTCATTTTTCTGAGGTTTTGAAACTTTTGAAAAACAACTTTGTTTTTCCGAGTTGCTGCCAAGGCGTTATACAGCACTCACACCCAGTCTCGATATTTAGACAGGGACTTGAGTTAACATACTAGCCACAGGTTTTTTTCAACATGGGCATCTTTTAAAATAACCACTTAGACAGTGGTTCTGTAACATCTTTTTAATGTTGACAGTAACTACACTAGTTGGGGTGAGCATTTAATAATGTAGCTAACTGTTGAATAACTATGTTATATACTTAAAGCAATATAATAGTGTATGTCAACTATAATAAAAAAATTATATAGAACAAATAAATAAGATAAAATAACCACTTAGAATTAAGCCCACGACAAGTTACTGACCTGCACCCCAGCCACCATGTGAGTAACAGGTGCTTGCTGCCCTGGCTGTCCATCTCCTTCCTGCCCACTCATGACAGGGACAGAGGACTGCCTCCCCTCCCAACTTCTGGGATCTGTAAATAATAAATTGTGTGACTCTGCTTCCTTTGTATGGGTTTATTGAAACTATACATTCAATCAAAATGACCTCCTGGGTTTCCCTTCCCCAAAGAGGGAGCTCGGTTGCTGCGGGAGCCACTTACCGACCCGTGTGGGTGGCTCATGCCTCCTCAGTCAGCAGGTCATAATCTGCATGTTCTTCATTAAGTACACTGGCTCCAGCTCCCCAACACACTGCCTCAATAGGTTTTCTAAGTTTTTAATTAGAAAATTAAATCCATTACATTTTACAGGCAGTGTATTAGTTTTGTATTGCTGCTGTAACAAATTAACACCAACTTAGTGTCTTAAAATAACACACATTTATTATCTTATGCTTTTTGAGGTCAGAAGTCCAAAATTAGTTTCCATGGGCTAAATTCAAGGTGTTGCAGGCTGTAGGAGAGAATCTATTCTGTCCCCTTTTCCAGCTCCTAGAGGTCAGCTGGGCTCGTGACCCTTCCTTTCTCAGCAAAGCCAGTCACATCCATCTTCCAGTCTGTCTCTGTCTGACCTGCTGCTTCCTTTTTACAAGGATCTTTGTGATCACATTGAGCTCCCCTGGATAATCTGGGCTAATCTCTCCATTTTAAGATCCCTTATTTAATACCATATACAAAGTACCTTGCCATGTAAGGTGACATTCCCAGGTTTAGGGTGTGGATGTGGTGGGGTGTGCCAACTCCATTTCCAGTAGAAATTTTTTTTATTTATGTAGTTGCTTAAAACTGCTGCCCAGGAAGGCTTATCATTTTCTATGAACAGAATTGGGATCCAATTCTTAGAAACATTGGAAGGATCAGTCTCTGTTTTAAAAAACTGAAGTTCATTCTATTATAGAACCTTCAAGAAACTCTCCAAATGATGTGGTCAAGTTCTTGAAGGTATTATCAGGGTAATCATTATAAACAATCACATCTTATTTTGTTTTTTTATGCCTGTAGAAAAACTTTTCAGTGGAAAAGTACTTCCTCCAAGCAAAATGTCATTGTATTCATTGATTTGGGGAAGTCTAAACTTATTTACTCCCTTTATAATTCATATATTGAACTTCAGTTTTTCAGGAAAAAAAATTCCAATCTGAGATAACAGATGATGTGCAGTAATAACAATAACTACCAAAAACACGAAACTCTTATCCTGAGACCTGAACATTTAGGACAGTTTACAATAAAGAATTTTTTGGCAGAATTTCATTTTAATTATGTTTTTCTCTATCTTTATACTGAAGATAGCAGTGGTTCACTTTCTTTTATTAGCTTTTTCTCCGAAATAATGTCTTTATAATTAAGTGATATTTCCTGTTTCTTTCTTTATAGCTTAAGAAATGTATAAAAACTCCAGAAATCCCTTCTAAACATGTTAGGAACTGGGTCCCAAAAGTCTTGGAACAACGACGACAAGGTTTGGAAACATATTTACAGGTAAGATGTGCCTCGATCAGTATAAGGTAGCTTAATTATTAAGTAACAACAGTATCTCAGTATTTTGTCTCAGAACTTATGGGTGGGTTGCAACATATACCAAGCAACCAAGCATTCTAGATTAAGTGAAATTTAAAATTATAAATATGCTGTTGGTTGGTTCTTTTAGATTCTGTTTACAAATGGTTTGTGGATCAGGAAAGTGAAAATTTAAAGGTAACAATGGATGTAGAAAGGGTCCGTCCATTTTTTTATTCTGCTCTACAGATTACTTTGGTTTTGTATTTTGTTTTCTGCTCCAAGATGTGTTGCTTTCTCTTGGCATTCCCAGCCTTCAGGTTTGGGTGTCAAGGAGTTAGCGAGAGACTGGATTCTACATCTATGGAATTGAATTGAGAATGAGTGTGTAAAAACTGCCTGTGATGAAGTGCCAACAGTTTTGAAAATTGAATGTATGTTTTTAAGAGAATGCTTCAGGATGCTCTTTCCTGCAGCTGAGAGGAACAAGCTGAAAGACCTACGTAAGGTAAAACAAAAGTGCTTTCTCTGCCAAGTGATGGGAAACACCAAGGAAAGGATGGAGCAGTGTCAGCTTCTCTGAGTTTAAAAACAAAAAGGGCTGGAGGCCTCAGGTGAATATTCAGTACAGTCACGAATCCAGAGAGCACTGCCCAGGGCTGGTGCTCAGAAGCAGCAAGCCTTGTGTTCGCCAGGGTGCCTGAGTCTGTCTGTTACCTTCACAGTTCCTATTGTTTTAGGTAACATGCTCTCCTGTTTGAGGACAAGAGCATTGACCCAAAGTGTGCAAAGCTGCTAAGAGTTGATAAAAAATTTAAGCCCGGGTTTACTCTACTAAAGTCCAATTATTTTGTATACATATGTAAACCTTTTCAACACAGCTTCCTAACTAATCAAGAACATAGTATACATACCAAGTATAAGTACATACCCCTTACTGTTTCAGTACAAACTCAGAGGACTATAGTGTGCTACTCCTTTCTAGCCTATACCATTTCAGTGATTAAAAAGGAAGAAATTATCATGTTAAAGCTAATTTGCATCCATTAAGATACATTAGATTACAAACAACAGTAAATGACTCAGGCTAATTGAGGCAAAACAATTTATTGAAGGGCTAGTTAGGATGCTTAATCAGTTAAAGTAATAGCTAAAACAGAAAAGTCCTTCAAAAAAGAGGAGCTGAAAGAGGTCCAGTAGTAGTGGCTCATAGGCCTTAATTTGAGTGGCAGACAAAGGATAAGCCGTTGGCACAGGTTGGCCCAATACAGATTGTCATGTAGGTCTACTTTGAGATCCCACTCACACCCAGGAATCGTCCTGATTTTCCTCCTGCCAGTTCTTGTGCTCTTTTCTTATACTTGCCATGTATCCGAGAAAAGGCATGGTTGAAAACCTGGCAGCTGAAGCCCTCACGGGCCGCATTTTCCACATGCGCCTGCAGGACCTCCAAGCTGCAGAAAACCCGGCAGCAGCCCACGCACCTGAAGCTGCTGTCCAGGCCCACCAGCCCTTCAGGCGTCTTGGCCCTGGAGCACCCCTCCTGGGCTGGAGGCTCCACTGTACTGCCAGGCTGCTCCCCCTCCTGGGCTGGAGGCTCCCCCGCACTGCCAGGCTGCTCCCTCTCCTGGGCTGGAGGCTCCCCCTCACTGCCAGGCTGCTCCCCCTCCTGGGCTGGAGGCTCCCCCTCACTGCCAGGCTGCTCCCCCTCCTGGGCTGGAGGCTCCCCTGTACTGCCAGGATGCTCCCCCTCCTGGGCTGGAGGCTCCCCTGCACTGCCAGCCTGCTCTCTCCCCTGTGGGGCCTTGGTATCCGAGCTGCACTCCATGTCAGTCAGGCGTTTCGGTGGAGACACATAAGAGGATCTCCTCAGAAAAACCGTATTCTGGCTTTTTTATATTAAAAAGCTCGCCTGCAGGACCTCCAAGCTGCAGAAAACCCGGCAGCAGCCCACGCACCTGAAGCTGCTGTCCAGGCCCACCAGCCCTTCAGGCGTCTTGGCCCTGGAGCACCCCTCCTGGGCTGGAGGCTCCACTGTACTGCCAGGCTGCTCCCCCTCCTGGGCTGGAGGCTCCCCCGCACTGCCAGGCTGCTCCCTCTCCTGGGCTGGAGGCTCCCCCTCACTGCCAGGCTGCTCCCCCTCCTGGGCTGGAGGCTCCCCCTCACTTCCAGGCTGCTCCCCCTCCTGGGCTGGAGGCTCCCCTGTACTGCCAGGATGCTCCCCCTCCTGGGCTGGAGGCTCCCCTGCACTGCCAGCCTGCTCTCTCCCCTGTGGGGCCTTGGTATCCGAGCTGCACTCCATGTCAGTCAGGCGTTTCGGTGGAGACACATAAGAGGATCTCCTCAGAAAAACCGTATTCTGGCTTTTTTATATTAAAAAGCCTTGAGATGTTTTTTGGGCCGCTTGAGAAAAAACACACTATACTATTTTGGTCTTTTTTGAGGCGGGCTTCAACACTTCCACCCCACCCCATGAGACAGTCACATCTCTTTTCAGCCAGACACGCCTGTAATAAATTTCCTTGATGGTTGCCATGCCCGTGTGTTGTGGGAACAGAGAGGACTCACTCTGCTGACCCACATGGAATGGAGAGGAGGAGGGAAAGGAGGAGGAAGCTTCCTGCTCCTCCCAGACCGGGGGCCGAGTCACCTCAAGGGCCCCAACATGAAGAACATCTTGAGGCAACTGGGTGATTCCTGGGAAAAGAAATTTCAAACATAAGAAAACTAGAATAAGTGTGTGAAGTCTGTGGGAGTTGAGATGGTCATGAGAATATTCCTATGTGGGCACATGGCCTGCAGGTACATATGTATGTGAAATCACAGAATGCCGTGTGGTACATTTTATCTGAGGTATGTGTGTGGTGGGATTATGTGGAATTTAGGTGTGGAGGTCCATGTATGTTCTGGGACATACCTGGTGAGTGTTTCTGACATTGGGAAGAGGGGATGGTGAATGACAGTGTACATGTGTGTTGTGTGGTGTGAGAATACACGTGAACAGAGTGAGAAGTCAGACAGAGCGTGTTGGAGGAAGTGTGCTTGTGCTTCCCAGAAGTGCAGCTCTCTGAGGGGCTGAAGGCTTTGGGCTGAATGTGTTGTGGGTGAAGTGGTATGTGGGATAGAAAGACTGTATATGAAAGTGCATTCCCTTCAGTGCATATGAGTTTTTGAGCACTTAGGCTGGCTCTAATGAGGGAGCTAAAATAAGTTATCTGTGTGAAAGGTTGTACTTATTTATGGGTTAGTGTGTAGACAGCAGAGTCTGAGAATGATTGTGTGAGGAGCAAAGGTGGAAGTGTATATCTGTGTAACGCTTGTAGAGAATGCGAAAGATACATGTGGAATGAAGGCATGTGTGTATGAGAGAAAAAGTGAATGGAAGGAATAATGGGGCTGTATCTGGTATGAAGGAATATAGGGTGTGTGTGTGTGTGAGAGAGAGAGAGAGAGAGTTGGTGCTGATCTGAGGGAAGAGGTGGTAATTGAATTCCCACACTGTTATCAGCACAGCCCACTGCCTCACTCACAGCAGTCCTAGTGTTCACATGGGGACAACCTGTCCTTGCCCAGTTCACGCCGACATGTTCTTCATGTTTCTCTGATACAACTCATCCCCTTAGGCCCTCTTGCACCATTTCCTCAAATAACTCACTGCTCTCTACTTGGGCTGCAGCAAGCTCAGGGAGACTTCTAAGTATTTTTCCATTGGAATTCACTACTTCCTTGCTGGATTATATTAATGAAGATGGAGAAGCATCTTGAGTTTCTTTCTGTACTGGGCAGCCTTGTGCTGACTGATGAGCAGAATCTCTCAGCTCACCTCTGGGCTCTGCCCTCATCCCCACTGTCCTTCACATCCCATTCAATAGTCCCTTCTCACCAGCGCCAGGAAGATCGTCCTTACAAGGGACACAGCAGACGCACTGCGACGCAGCAGCAGCTTCCCCTGTCTTCTTGCCTTGGGCTAGGCCCACTGCCTCGTGTCCATGCTGTTGAGCTTGTTTTGTGGAAAAATTAAGTAAAAATGATAGATGTGGTCCATGCTGGGTGTTTGTGCATTTACCCATCCATTAAATAAACAATGAGCATGTTTTCTCATACTATGGAATGAATTCAGGGAACCCAGATTATGAGAAAATTATAGTAATCCGTCACTACGTCTGTGATAACAATAACCCAGAGCAGCATGATGTGGGGAACACAGGTCCTGAGCCACAGAGACAAGGACGTAGTTACAGGAACCTTCTCTCAGCCCTCAGATGATCTGATCCCTTAGAAAGACTGGCGCATGCACACCTTTTCCTCCCTCCCTTCTGCCTTCTGTCCCTTTCTCTTCCATAAGTAGGAGTCCTCTCACCTTTTTTCTTTAGAGGACAATTTCTAGATTCCCAAAGTTCAGAGAATATAGTTGATGCATACCTCCTGAGATCTTGGCAGATTTGGGGGTATCTGTGCTTTCAGGGTGTTTCCTTCTCCCTGGAACTCTGCTGCCAGAGGTTAAAGTGATGACAGCCAAGAATAAAGTATGTGTATTGAAGAACAACAAGTGACTGGAATAAAGTATGTATATTGAAGAACAACAAGTGACTGGAGAGGCTCTCTCCTCACTCACTCACTGGCCTGGCCAGTGCTTAAGTACACCAGTATGGCAGTTGGGATGTAAGTCACACAGGGTTCCAACAGAGCAAACCACTGCCAGGGGGGATCCCTTTCACCCAACATAAACTCTATCATCAACTTGAATTTTTATCTTGCACTTCATATCAAAACTTGAGAAACAATGATGTGGATTAAACAAAAGTAAATTACTTTATGTATCTAGGGTAACCACATTACTAAATCTCCCCAAGGGTGAGGATAAGGCGTTACCTGAACCAGGCTTAGAACCTTCGTGCCCCACACAACATGGCAACCTAACTGTCATATCTAAGCAGTACCATATAACATGTACACATGTAAGTTATGTGAGGTGCTTGTGT